AAGAAGTAAGAAACCTTGCGATAGAAAACCGAAGGAGGATCATACCCTGATCGCATAGTGAGAGATCAGAGGTATCGGAACCTTGTAAGACGGCTGAATTATAGAGGAACGTAGGGCAATTGCTAAAGAAATCGAGTTCCCCCATGTTCAAGTAACGGCAAGCGGGAAGACCACAAGACAACTTCAGAAAACGTAGACGTTCATAAGAGGAAAGAAAATAAGGTCTGCAGTCATTAAGAATTTCAAGACGGTGAATCATCCGAGACCACGTGGCAGAAAACTCCCGGGTATTTTCTCCTTTATTCTACTACTATCCCTATCTATATTTTATTTCTCCTTCCTTAGTTTGTAAGTAGGTTAAGTTTAGCTATAAGTCGTGTGTCGGTTGCCACAATAGAGGCTTGTTTGTGTAGACGATTATTGTATGTATACGAACCCAATAGTCTGTAAGTTGGAATCATTTTAAAGAACCTGTGTTTGATGAATAAAAAAAATTTCGTATTTTTACTCGTTTTATATGTTTCCTGTCTGCAATAATATATTGCCCTTAAACGAAACTTCAACTATAATTTTTTTTTTTCAAATTGCTGCCTAATTAGCAGTGTCGGCTCGATGGGTGAGGCGATGAGGCGACTGCTTCAAGCGGCAAAACGAACGGCTAGAAATGAAAGAGGAGAAGAAAAATAGAAATAATAAGTCAAATGCAATAAAGTACCGTAAATGTACTCTAAAGTTGTTTACATATGTAATGTTACATATGTAAAATGTAAGAAAATATTTTGGTACGAATATAGATTTATACTTATATATTTGATAAATTATTTTCACGCAGTCTTTTACAGTTCGTTCCACTAATCTTATCCGGGCTGTAAAAATGGGTAGTAGAACGATCAGTAGTAATTAAATAGTAATTAGTGAAGGGAACAGATTGTTGACGAATTTTTTACAAAGTCACTGTGCTCTACCAAAATGGGGCTCTCAAATTTTTTAAACTTTCAGTGCTCCAACTGAGTATTGCATATCGCCCGGCCAAGATGCGTGAACGATCTATAAATGTGTGTATTGTATCATTTTAACAATCGGTTGCAATTTTCTTATAATTAAGAAAATTCTTCAATTCAGTGTTGTTAAATACCCTCGAACATAGAAAAAGTACATTAAATGATTAGAAAATTATATATCTATTCTATGTAAGAGAAACTTATAAAGTTACGATTATCGAATTATTCGTACGGAACATTTCAAGATATTTTCTTCAAGAATTTTGACACTATAAATTTAGCATATTTAATTTCTACGGAATCATATTTTATCGTACACTTAATGTAAGTTGAATTAAATCTGAAATAATAAAATAAATCTTCCATTATTGAACCAATGAAAAAAAAAAATTCAAATTGTGCAAAGTTTTAAAAAATTAAAACAATATTCTGTAAAATTGTTTTAAAAATTAATTTTTTGAAGCAAAATTTAGAACGATGATATACATTTTCATTGCTTGTTAAAGAAATACATTTTATATTAACAATTCTTTGGATAAATTACTGTATTTTTCTTTGCAAATAGTTTCCACAAGAAAAGATTTCTTTCTTTACACCGATGTTTCCACAGAACAAAACTTAACGCATAAAGAATTTTTGTTCTATAGAAACTTCTCTATGGCAAAAAACTATCCGAAAAATATTTAATGTAAAGATAGAAGTCGCTGGAGATGAATAATATGTATATAAAAAAATAATGGTAATAAATTTTGGAACAATTGTATTGTTTTAAATTCTTTCTCTGAGACCTAACTAGGATGGGGCAGATCAGGCATGTGATCTGTGCGCCATATTTGGGGTTCCACTCCACCACTCTAATGTTCTTTTTAAAAGTAAAAGCATATTCTTTTGGAAATGTATCGGAATTCAGTCCGAATTTCGAATGGCGCCATTTTTTTTATTTGTTTCGGGCGCCATCAATCTTAGTCACGCTCTTGGTTTCTGTATTGAACATAATAATGACAATTGCGATATTTTAAAAAAAGTGATTAGAAATACAGTATTTAAAAAATAAACAGAATCGAATTGAATATTTGTCTATGTAATATTTCGTGTAATTATTATACAATATATTAGAAACTACACGTACAGTCGTTATTCATTTTGAATGAATCACGCTCGTACCGGTATATAAATGCCGCTTTTTAAAATTTAGTACATTTTATAAATATCATTCCTAACTAAAGCTTCCAATTATAAATATTATTAATAAGAACGAACGGCAATTAAAATGAGGAAAATAATAATTGTAATACAATTAATAATAGTAAATTAATTTTTATAAAAAATTTTATATTAATCCTTAAAGTAATTTTATGATAACACGCAAATTATTTTTTTTAAAAATAATAATTTTCTACTTTTAAATGAATAGCAAAAATTGCTTATTAATAAATCAAATCCGAAAACAAGTAAATAGGAACAAGTTCGCATCTACGCCATTTCCTGTCTTGCGTTAAAATGAGTTAATGACGTCACGGACACAAAAGGTGTCCGAAGTGAAAGGATCTAGAAATAAGCTCCGCTGTTAAGAGAGAGAGAAAAAAAAGAAAAGGTAATTTTCTTGCCGAATTTACTAATTGACACCGTTGACTTACATTTTAAACTATCGTTAACGTTTCTAATACGAATTGCGGATTTTAAAATCCAGATTAATTAATAAAAACTCATTAGTTAGGGTTAATCTTTGGGAAAACAAAGTTGGAATTCGAATGATTCCGTACAACGTTCTCGTTATCTGTTAACAAAAAAATAGGAAATAGAAACTTCGCTAACATTTCTATATATTGGGTCAGTAAGTCATGTTTCCATTCGTCCTTCGCTCAAATGATCGAACTACGCAGTTCATATGTTTCTTTTTTTTCCAATTTTTCATTTACATCTTTCATCTTTCATTTTTTTTAATCCTTTGTTTCCTTCCAACTTAATCATTTTACGTAAATAAGTTCAAATGTACGAGTTCTGCTGACACACTTCAGGTTTTATAAGTTAATAAATAAGGAAACTGGAATTTATCTATGGAACTCAGGTAAGATATATTCCTTGTTTATGTATCTATAAATGCGCCTTAACCATTTAAAAATGATCTTTTTTATGTACTTGGAATGTGTTCTGTTGTAACCGTTTCGGTTTTCTGTCCTTACTTAATGAACTGGATCTCGTTAATGTGACGGTTATAAAATTCTTTCCGAAGAATACCCTTTTTAGGTATTATCTTTTAATATTACATATATTAAAATACATTTTTTCATTTTTGTTGAAGTAGAAATTTGCCAAATATCTTCCAAATCAATGACATTGGATTTATAGAACGGTTATCTATGATAGGTTTCTCTGTTTATTTGTGCGATTAGATTTAAATTACTTCTTTAATATTGTATTTCGATTGTGGGATATAATTTTATATTTGCCATTTTTTGTCTGTAATAGTGTTTAAACTTTATATATATATATCTCTGAGGGCATTTATATATAAAATTTAATTTTTCTTTGTTAGTCTAGCTTAAAGTGTCCTTTAATTAAAATTAAATTTTGTTTTATATTTATAATTACATAACTCTGTCCATTAATGGATTTTAATTGAAATTTGAAAATATTTTTTTCTTTATTAGTTTGGCAATGTGACTCGCATTTTATAAATAACAAACTTTTAGGGTATTTATGAAATTGTTTACAGTGTGGGAGAGGAGAACTATTAATAAGGCTTTAAAAATTTGCCAGTCTGCTTGTCTAGTGACAATTCGAAATTTTTAACCGATAAATAAAAACTTTGAGGGAAGTTTTATTTCTACCGGTTATTATTTTGTTAAATTCCTTTTTTAAATGTAAATAAATATTTCTGAAAATTATTTAAGAATATCTTCTGTCATCTGCTGTATGAACATAAAAAGAGCAAATGTTTATTGATTACTAAATATTAAAGGTATGCAGGTTATAATAATGCAGATATTAGAAAATAATAATTGCTTCAATTTCTACAAGCATAAGCAGAAAATCTCTTGAAATTGGCTGATGATAAACTTTGAGCTATAGATCATAGGCCTAATGAATAAGTTAAGTGTGTCATTTAGAGAATCTGATGTTCAATATTGCTTTAAGTATGTTAATATTTGTTTCTATTGCTTAATTCTTAGAAAATATAAATTCTCTTAAACATCTCATGACATAGCTGATAACATATTTTAACATTATTTTTTGAAGTAATAGTTTTCTATAAATGATACATTTATTCTTATATTCATGTTACTTTTACATCCTTTGTTAACAATACTATTATCATATGAACATATATTTTTCCTGTTCCTTTGTATATTATACTGTCGAATGCAACAGTTCATCTGTGATAAATATACACAAATACTAAAATTTTTACCAATATGAAATAGGTATTTGCAGAATTTAATATGATTTAATATTTGAGTATTAAAAATTTGTCTTTGATTTTTCGTATCTTTACTGATGTGTGTTTATTTCGTTCGTATAATTTAAAATATAACATTAGAAAAAAATGTAGATTACAAAGTTATGATATCAATAAACTAATGAGAAAAATCAAAAGGGTATCCATTTTTATTAAGAATTTGCTGAAAAAATACTGAGAATAATATTGAATTTAAACACCTGTAATATTTCATTATCATTAAAATTACGTAAATGGAAAATACAGTGCATTAAGTAATTTTAAATTGTTAGTCATTATAATTAAAAATGGACTTTGGGATTCTAGGACATTGGCAAACTGAAAAGATACTTGGTTGGCTGACATGCCAAATTGAAATTTTTAGGCTCTAGCTATTAATAATCATTAGTTAGGTATTTGGTAATAGATACATTACTTTGTTAAAACTATATTAATGGCAAATACGAATAATAATTTGAACTTTCTTATTTCTCTACTTCATTTATCAGGGATAACTAATTATTTTTTAAGTAAAAATATAACTAATGAATATATAGTTGAAATCAGTGTGAACAAAAATTTGCAAATGCATAAATATATATCAGCCTCACATGGAAAAATTGAAGTCAATAATTATTAACTTGTTTTTTTCTTGTATCCAAAGATTTTATATTAGAATTCTTAAGAGTAAATACGTGTTTAAAGTTAACCATATTTTTGTATGTATAACCCATCATAGCAATTTTTTGAAGGATTCACAATATCTTAAAAAAATTACAAAAGTAAAAATTTATTTGTCATGTTTTCAGAGAATGAGGATAGTGGTGATAACTTCATCTCAACTCCACTATATACATCACTACAACATGTATGCATGCATCATTAAATTCTACATTTGTTGTTTATCAGGTTGGAACAGGGATGATGGTGAGGGCAATCTTCCTAAAACATCATTAAAATGCATTGTCATTGGACTTACATAGGTCCTCAAAGTTTCAGCCTTTTATCTTAATTAGAAGTGGATGAAATTTGAGTTGTAAGATTTGAGGACATGATACAAATTAAGTGAAATAAAAGCATTAAATTCTTGTATAACTTGCCCATTGTATATCCCAGTCTATGGAAGCAACTGTTGCTCTAAGTGAAAGTTTGTAATTGCAATTTAAAATTGGTTTATAATTTGACACATTTGCAAATTCTTTTACACAGAAAACTTGAGTTATAAATACAAAAATATTACCATATTGCAGCCAACTTTTTGAAATGATATTGTTATTAATTGAAATTTTATATCTAATTCCATAAGTCAGTGTTGTTTAATTTTAAAATTATAACAAGAATTTATTGAAAAAATATAAATAGTTTGTTAAAATATAGTTTTGTATTTCTGGAGAGATACTTACATTTCTTTACCATGTTATTTTTATAATTTTTGAGAAAAATCTTTTATTATAATATAAAATAAAGATTGATTAATTTGTAGATTTGAAAGTTCGACTCCCCAAAAAAAAGTTCACAATTCAAACGTATCCACATAGCACATTTACACTCTTTGACTGGTAATGTTTATACACGATGTTCCCTCAAGTAATATTAACAATTTGAAAATTTGTTGCAATGAAAATTTTGAAGAGTAATTAAATTTTTTAGCTATTCTTTTGATATACTTGCTTTGAGAAACTATGCAGCCACTGACAAGTTTACACAATTTTTCTTAGCAAACTTTTATTTGTAATTCATAGCAAGATTTATATTTACCAACTAAAACTTAAACATATAACTTGAACTAAAGCTAAATTAAGTCTAACAAATGTCACTTTTTTCTAAGCTTTGTTTCCAACTACTAATACTCATTTTATCTTCCAAGTTTTTACACCTTATTTTGTTTTATGTTTTCAAGAACTTATCAAGAATTTTAATTTCTTTCTTTTCTGGAAAGGGATGAATTCTTGGAAACCTAAAAGAAACTTTTATTTATTCTTAATTTTAGCTTATCCAAACTGTTTATTTTATCCATGTTAAATGTTGTTTTGAAACTATTAATAAAGAAGACTCATTATTCATTTCTGCAGTATTAGTACTGTAATATACTGTACTTAGTAAGGTTAAGTTCATGAATGCAGAATTCATCTATGGCATTTACCATTAATTTAAATGGCAAAATTTTTTAAGATTACTATAAATCCTTCAATAGACACATGGTCATCCATTGGACAATATACCTAGTCATCAGCTTTATAAGAGACCTGTCCTCTGTTCCATTATTGCAGAATTTCTCATTCAAACTAGTGATAAAGGGAGAAAATAGGTTCAGTATTCTTTCCATTACCACCTCCATGATTTTTCCCACTTATTCTTTCCCAATTAATAAAAACTACAGGTAACTCAGAAGATCTTTTCCTTTTTATTTAATAGAAAAGCACACTACTACACAACAATATTACTACTGTAAGCAGAAAGTTATTACAGTATTATCATATCTTCAATTCAATTGGTGTCATCATCACTCTGGAGGATATTCACCTTCTTTGTCATCATTGCTATAGATTACAATTTCATTATACTCAGCTTCTTCATTGTCTTCTTCCTCCTGTAGCAGACCAGAATTTATGCATTGCTTTCAAGCCTCCAATAACTTCTCACTCCCAAGACAAAGTTCCTTGGATTTCAAACAGTAGATGGATTGTCTTCAGCTGTCTATTTTGATAGTCAATGTGCAGTTTTTGAAGGAGTGGCAGAACATTTCATTTGGAACCAATTCACAGGCTTGTTGAATCCAAGAAGTCATCAGATATTGAGAAGATGCTTTGAATTTTCATTTTGTATAATACTACTACTACTACTACTACTACTAATATTAATCATTAACCATCCAAGAGTGATAGAACATACAAGTGACAAAATACATCCAAGAGTGATGTATTCTGTCCTTGAAAAGTTTATTCCATATCACATCTGCTGCTTGAATATATTTTGTTCAGCTGTCCAGAATAACAGCAATGTTCATGTTAGTTATTCAGCTCCTTTCTTTTCTTGCTGATATGACAGTGATACAAATCCCATAAAAGCAGTCTATGCTGGAAAGAAAATGTGCCATAGATTTTCTCATTCAAGTGTTGATTGAACTTGGGAAACAACTCTGGGAACATTCTGTA